GTCAAGGCTTGGAGATTTTGGATTACTTCCTTGCCCTCTTTGCTACAGGCTCTTTTTGGTGGAGAACCCTGTTCTTCAATCTCTGCTACATTTCAATTTGAATGGGATTTCACAATTTGAATACAGAATTGCCCTCAGCCACCATTGCTGCTCAACCTTATTTGCTGCTGCAAGCCACAATGCTTGTTCTCCAATGTTACTACTACTTGTTTTTTCTCACTTTATTCCCTGAAAGAATAGCTTCAGACTGACCTGGATTTTCAGGTAAAAGTGCTTGCTTCTGACAATATCCAGGCCTTTCTGACCAAGAGGGCATGGGAGCAGCAACTGTGAGTCAGAAAGCCATGGGAGTGCTCTGCTAATGGAAGGCAGGTAGGTTTTTTGCAGGCAGGGGCAGGAGGGTGGAAATTGGCGGCTCCAAATGGAGTATTAACTGTCATCCCTACTCCACATGGCCCTGCTGGAGGCTGAAGGCCAGGCCAGCTTCCTCAAATGCTGTGGCAGTGAATATGGTGTAAGTGTCCAGAGAATTAGTTGAAATCCCTTTTGTCCCATGGAGCCTTGGCACGTTAGTCAAGGCATTTTCTTTTTCTTATGCGTGCAGAAGAGGTAGAACTTTGTAGGCTGCTGCACAGCTGCATGACGGTTCATTGCAAGGGATTTCCCCTCTCAATTTCTATATTCTGTGACTGTGTTTTATTAATGGGAAGAAAAATGCCTCGTAAGAAAGAAATGAGAAATACTAGAAAAATAGTACAGCTATGGGTCTGCAAACAGCTGCTCTGACAACTGCAGCTACTCTTGTACAGTTATGTCTCACAGTGCTTGCAGTCAGCAGCACTATCATGCACATATCCCTTACCATGAAATGTAGGAAGCATGGGGTTTGCAAATGTGTGATCAACTTCACAGCTCAGTGCCCACCAGAGATTTGTCTCAACAACATCATCTGACAATGTTTGAACCCAATGCAACAAATAAATAGATATGAGGAAGACATGCTGCTTCTATAATGGAAGACTGAAACAGCATGGGCTTAAGCACCTTTGGAGTTTACCTGCAGGGTCATGAAGAGGGTCTCATGACAAAATAACACCAAAAGGCAGGGTCCTCTGAGCCCCTTCCATGGGAGTACAGACATGGGGTGGACAGAAAGGACAGCCTCTCCTACTGAAAATTTCAGATGCTCCACCCTTCCAGAGCCAGAGCGCAAGTGACCAGGCACAGCATGGGAGTGGAGAGGCAGGACAACATCCTCAGACCTCTCCAGAGAGTCAAAACTTTACTGCCACATCCCTGAACCCTAACATCTTTTAAAACCTAGGTTCAACCAGGACACACTCTGCCAGTCACAAAGAAGTGAAGCTCACATGGGCCACCCTTTCTGTCCTAAAACACACTACGTGAATCTTGGAACGTGTTCCACGTATTTATATTTTCCGGCACTGAGCGATGTTTGCCCTACATTTCTTCTCTCTCACTGCAAACAGGTGCGTGTTCTACCTATCTCCTTGCAGGAATGGTTTTCTGACCTAGATCAGGCTGCTCAGCTAGTGCAAGGCCTTCAACTAGCAGGTATCTCAGCAGGTAGCTTCTTCTCCTCTGGCCCCAAGTCACTCAGGGCAGCTTTCACACCGACTGTCTTCCCAACAGCGAGCGTGGTTATCTGAAATGATTGTTTGTGCGGAAAGTTCAGAGCCACGGCATAAACTTGGAAGGATAATTTGATGAATTAGTTTCACCGCTTCTCAGCAAAATCCTCGCATCACAAGAGGGAGCCGGGAGCATTTGCTGCCAGTTGCCAAAGATGAAGGTATACTCCAGCTGTGTGAGGACCGGGAAAGTCCAACTCCTGAACCTCATGCTCTCCAAGTCACATAACTTTGTAACACTGACAGAAGACTCAACTCTCTGTGGAAATACTGAAAATACTCATTTTCCAGTCTCATTTTCCATTTTTTAGACATATAAGCAGCCTAGTGATTTCACTGAGAATTCGGCGTAAACAAAATTCATTCTACAAGATTGGAAAATGACAAATGAGAATAGGTTAAGCATTGTTTGATGCTATCTTCCTTGCTTTTTTTCACCCCATGTTTGCAAAAAAAATTTAAAAGGAATCAAATCAAATAAGATAGTGGTTTAGAAAATTCCTCTAATCACGTTTGTCTTTAATAATTTAAGAGGGCACTTTCTAGAAGCATACTATAGTATTCTCTTTTTTAGAGGTATGCAATTTTGCGGCAAGTCTTCTGGATTTCTTCACATTACCAAAAATGTTTATTTTCCACTACTTTAATTTGTATCTTGCAGACTTCTTTCCTGCCCATGACCACATCTTCCTCTTTACAGTTAATGGAAGTTTCAGAGGCACAGAGGGTCAGGTTCCTTCTTTACTATTCAATTAGGTAAATAAATCCTTATTACTTGAATGACTCTCTGAAGAATAACAGGTAGATAAATCATGTAAGATTTTTCCAGTCTTTATAACAGCCCCCATCTAGAATACATACATACAGTTTTAAAAGGACATTGATTACAGTATCTACCAAGCGCTAAAATAAGTTTTGTTTGCTTTTAATGGAGTAAGAAGAATATCTGTTTAAAAACACCTAAAAATTTAATCTGGGATTATATGAAAATAGTAAGAATTATACCTAACAGTACTGGTTAGGATGAAAGCAAAGCTGCCTGTTAAAAATCCGACCACTGATCGAAGCTTGCAATTTCAACCTTCCTCAATTGCTTTCTTGAGTGACTCATCAAATCAGCGTTACCTAAAAAGTCAATATTGAGAAACCAGGTAAACCCATAAGTACTGCTTTCAGTCACACAATTGCTACCAAACACTCTTGAGAACACAGTAAAGCATTTTATTGTTTATACTCATTTTCATTTACACATAGGAGGAACAATCAATGCAGTTCTATCACAGCGGGTGGACCATATCCTGTAACTCTAACTTTGACTGTTGAATATGCGTAGACCTGTCTTAAGGTCTGATCAGAAAAAAAAAAAAGAAAAAAAAAAGAAGGGGGAAGTAGGTAGGAGAGTAATTTCACTAACATCAGTTAATTCATGATTCACAGGTATTTATTTTGCAGGTGATATAGCTCTTCTGAAAGAGCAAACTGCTTCACTTCTTTACAAAATACACTAAATAATGTAATTACTTAGAGAATTCTAAATTTCGCAGTGGTTCATGCGGTAAGGGTGTGCAACGGACACAAAATGGGAAACATGGTTACAACATCAAACTGCTACTTCTACTCCCAGCTGGTTTATGGAAAAGGTCATTGGACTTCTTGTTTTCTGCTCTTGAGTTATGGAGTAGAAACAAGAAGTATTTACTTTATAAAGGCAACTATGAAGACAGACTATAGATATGCAGTGCAGTTGAACAGGTCTACAACTCTTGTTTCTACAGCATTTGCATTTAGTATTGTTGTGAAATACAACTATAACTTTTGCACACTGTCACTTCTCACAGATGTTCAGCTGAAGGAGTCATTTACAGAATTTACTGCGATGCTCCTATTTTAAATGCTGCTTTTTTTCTCCTCTTGGCCTCCTAAGTGAAGGGAGCAACTCTTTCCACTGAAAGAAAGAAATTACAGGTGTGCAGAAGTACAACTATGCTACCAACACAGACAGAGACAACTGTGCCCTTGTGCACACCCCTACAACCGGCCGGAGAACAAATTAAGAAGTTAAGCCTGCAAAATAAATGGAGTTTACTCTCAAACTTTTTCTTCAGTCCAGATGAATTATAGACCTTGATTCGAGGCTGCCCTCTTTTTTTGCAACTGATCTGCGTGACTATCGGAACAGCTTCTCTGCCAGAGTCATTACACTGAAATGCAGAGCTGAGCAGTTTGGTGGCAGTATGTATTGACGTTTTTGCAGCATCATGAGTCTGGCAACTGGGCTTGGGGAAGTTTCAAGCAGTGGGTCTTTACAATAGCAACTTGATTCTGCAGACAAAAAGCAAAAGATTGGCAGAATTATTAAAGTATCACAATAAAGGCAAGTGTGTATTCTGCAGAACGTGGTGCTGAGTTCAGCTATTAGCTGGCAGCCACTTTTGTCAGAGGCGCAGAAAGGCACAGCTTTTCCGCGTGTGAAGAGAAACATAAAGGTGCCGAGCCTTCCACGGTGGCTAAAAGGCAGCTTTCCTTTCAGGATGCCTGCTCCCAGCCGGCTCCGCTCTCAGCAGGAGCAGCCGGAGCCGTAAGGAGGCCAGAAAGTAGGCTGAACTTTACCAGCAGCCTTACTCTGGGACCTGTCCTACCTTCCTTCCTTTCCAAAAAAAAAAAAACCCAGCCCGA